CTCTCTTCCTGCTCTTGCCGACCCGGAGTCGGACTCTCTTCGTGCTGCCAGTCCTACTGTCACGCGTCTCCTTGCTACTGTTGTCACTGACCCTTCTTTCGAGTCTACTGCTGCGTCTGCTCTCGTTACTGAGCTCGTCGACTTTGCTGCTCGCTGTCGCTTAGACTACGCTGCTAGTCTTGTCGCTGAGTCTGAGTCTGTCTGTCCTCCGTCCGTCGGGGGTGAGTGTGCCCTTGGCACGGACGTTCTTGAGGACAGGCAGGAGGAGTTCCAGTGTCTGGCAGCTGCCTCACCTCATCTCGTGTCCGTACTGCTTACCCCTGAGGGAGACCCGGATGCACTTGACATCCCGACTCCGCGCTCTTACGCGGAGGCGATAGAGGGTCCCTACTCCTCTCAGTGGCAGGCAGCTATGGATGCAGAGATGGCTTCCTGGAAGTCCACAGGCACCTACGTTGACGCTGTCCCCCCTCCTGGGGCGAACATCGTCAGTGGCATGTGGATCTTCAGGGTGAAGCGGCCGCCGGGTTCTCCGCCTGTCTTCAAGGCGCGTTACGTGGCTCGTGGCTTCAGTCAGCGGCAGGGAGTTGACTACTTTCAGACCTTCTCCCCCACCCCGAAGATGACCACTCTTCGGGTACTGCTGCACGTTGCTGCTCACCGTGACTACGAGCTGCACTCTCTTGACTTCAGCACAGCTTTCTTGCAGGGCAGCCTGCACGAGGAGATCTGGCTGCGTCGCCCACCTGGCTTCACTGGGTCTTTCCCTCCTGGTACCCAGTGGAGTCTCCGGCGTCCAGTCTACGGTCTCCGCCAGGCGCCCCGTGAGTGGCACGACACACTGAGGACTACGCTTGCGGCTCTTGGGTTTGCTCCTTCTACTGCCGACCCGTCGCTGTTTCTACGCACCGACACCTCTCTGCCGCCGTTCTACATCCTCGTGTACGTCGACGACTTGGTCTTTGCCACAGCTGACACTGCTGGACTCGCCTACGTGAAGTCCGAGCTGCAGAAGAGACACACGTGCACAGACCTGGGTGAACTGCGCAGCTACCTTGGCTTGCAGATCACCCGGGACAGAGCACGCCGCACCATTACCCTGACTCAGTCACACATGGTGCAGCAGGTCCTTCAGCGCTTCGGCGTCACGTACTCCTCGCCTCAGGCCACTCCTCTGTCTACTCGCCACTCGCTCTCAGCTCTGCCTTCGGATGAGTCCGTAGAGTCGAGTGGCCCGTACCCAGAGCTTGTTGGCTGCCTCATGTACCTGATGACCTGCACACGACCTGACCTTGCATACCCTCTTAGCATTCTTGCACGCTATGTTGCTCCTGGGAGACACAGACCAGAGCACATGGCTGCAGCGAAGAGGGTGTTGCGCTACTTGTGCAGTACGTCGGGCATGGGGCTAGTGCTTGGAGGGCGGAGTCCAGTGGTCCTCACTGGGCACGCGGACGCTTCTTGGGCTGACGACCAGGCTACGCAACGGTCGTCACAGGGTTACACCTTCAGCCTTGGTTCCGGCTCTGTTTCGTGGCGGGCTACTCGCTCGTCTTCTGTTCTTGGCTCGAGTTGTGAGGCTGAGATCTACGCCGGGGCCATGGCTGCACAGGAGCTTCGCTGGCTCACCTACCTGCTGACCGACCTTGGAGAGCCGCCTCGTTCTCCTCCAGTCCTGTACGTAGACAACAAGGCCATGCTGGCCTTGTGTCGAGAGCAGCGACTGGAGCACAGAACAAAGCACATTGCTCTCCGCTACTTCCTTGCTCGTGAGCTACAGCAACGTGGACAGTTGCGGCTTGCGTACGTGGCCTCTGAGGCCAACACTGCTGATGTCTTCACCAAGGCACTTCCGCCTTGTGATCATCAGCGCTTCTGCACTCAGCTGGGTCTTGTGCCCGTCTTGCCTCACTTGCTCTCCTCTTGACCTTGCTTGTACTCTCACATATATATATACCTGCTCTTGCTTGTCTAGCTTTATATATATGTGTGTACTCTTGCATGTGAACTGGCCGTGTGGCCTTGACCCTGTGCTCGGACTGTGTGGTGACTTTGTGATCCACCCTGAGCTTGCTTTGCTTTGCTTTGCTTGACTGGTCTTGTGACCCCTTGTTCTCCCCCACTTTGCTTATGGGGGTGTGTCAGAACATTGTAGCTTATGCTGTTGTGTAGGCTATAGTGGGGTATCCCATAGGGGGTACAACCAATTAGGGTTTCATATTTGTACTCACTTCATTTCATAGTTCATTCATTCTCGTTCTCATTTCTCTCACGTGCAGTCTGACGTATTTTACGACGTCATTAGCAACGACCCCAACAAAGAGGCGCTGGCCATGCGGAAGGTCTCAGAGAAGCGCTCCAACGTCAACTCCGACGCCAAGATCTACGGGAGAGGCCCCGGTGGGTGCGTTCCAGAGACGAAGTGGAATATTCTCGTTGAGGAGAATGTCGCGCCGTCCACCTCGCGCACCCCTTTGGAGTGGTGCTGTTTCTATGCACATGGTAAGTTACTCTGTACTAAATTATTCGATTTAACTATTATGTACGGAATGACTTCCCACGCCCGTTTTCTTGTTTTGTGTCGCAGCCGTTTACGGTCTTGGCGCAAAGTGGCATTTTGACTCGATAACAAACCGACCGTACGCCAACCGTCCTTTCCAGCTTGCCCTTCTTCGTGGGCTTGGAAGCAAGCGTGCAACCACGATGGTTGTGAAGATTCCCACTGTGGGTTATGTGTGCAACGTGGTGAGTGCCTGTGATTTCTTTATTCCTATTAGTGTTTTCTATTCAAGGAAACTAACTAAACGATGTATGCCTGTTGCAACTGCAGGTGGAGTGGCCCCTGGTGAATGCCAGGGGCCACCTTAACCCGGCACTGGTCACTTCTGAGGCAGTGAACCGCCAGAATGTTGCTCATAAGATAGACCAGGTTGTGGCCTGGATCAAGGCTACCTATGACGCAGGGGATGTGGCTATCTAGGACTCCAGGCCCCCTGCTGGCTTCAACATGAGCCCTGTCATCAAGATCTTGGTGGAAGGCTGAGTCCGTGATTTTCCCTAATGGAACACCCCCTTCGAGTGCTTAGGTAGTAGTTAGTTAGTAGTTGGTGCAACACTAGCATGGTTTAGTAGGTTATTGTAGGTTAATCAACTGTCGCTTTAACTGATGAGTCTAATGGAGAATATTTTGGTCTATGTACAAGTGCAGAAACGAGTTTCATGCAAATCTTATTTAATTATAGTGCACATTTCTAAAACCCCGGAGCTGTTTATATTTTTTTTTCAGTACACCCTAATACAGTGTTATCTTGGCGATTCGATGCCCCAAAATCCAGTCTAATAACGCAGAGCGCTCTGTAACATAGATTGTAACAGTGCAATTGTAACTTCAATAACGTCACTCGATGATTCTTCGCAAGTCAAAGTAATAGTGCAACAAAATGAATTGTAACATCGCGCACTTTGCAACGTCAGGCCGTCAATGTTCGGGCCACGTCATCAACTAACCCGATGATGAATGACCATCCGCAGGATCATCTGTAAATCGAACTCACACAGCCGCACATTGTACCTCCTCTGTGTTGCAAAGCAACTGTACCCTTCGGTGATTGGGCATTACCAGCCCGCACTGTTCCGAATGTTTCCACGCATACAAAACCATCAAGGGAGTGGTCGACATGGGGTGCCTATCGGCCTAACCCATCACACGTACATGGTGTGTTTGGAAACTCGCCAGAACCCAACCTGGAAAACCCGAACTCAACTCAAACACCCCAATCCAGGCGCCCAAACTTTCTGATGCACGAGCATAACTAGTGTGTTCTTCGTGACTGAGACAACCTAGGAGCAATTGTTGGTGCGAATGTAAGTCTGCCCAGTCACATGGAACAATGCTGGGTCACTCAAAATGCTGTGCTTCCAGCAGCTGCTATTACGAGTCTAAATGGGATTGACCACATCGCAGCTCCCACTTCAGTCAAGACGCTCACAAGGCTACCATGTGTGACGCTCATGAAGCCTCTCTGACAAGATTAGTTTCTTCCCCCCACGCAAGCGGATTTCTGCTAAGCATTTCTTCCTCCAAAAATGCTGGAGAGGAAGAGTCCTGCTTTCTCATGACAACACTTTCTGAGGGTTGCCTTGCCTTGCTTGCGCCAATCATTGTTTTCCGCACCTTCCGCCAAACATAGGAACACAGCAAAAGCAGCACCAAGGCTCGTCCCCTTCAAGGCGGTTGGGAGGTTAGGAACACAGCTTCTCATTGGGAGGTTCGTAAGGGAGGTTAGGAAACCACACGAAGCGCCCGCAAGACACCCAGCCCAACTTCTCGAAGATGCGGTGTGGTTGGGACTGGTTGGGACTTCACGAACTCCATCATCCAATCGAATGGTGCATACAACACACCAGCACAACAGCCGTGGGTATGCCGCACTAGACTTGGCAGTACGGTTGTGGCGTGAGTAGGTTCGAGCCGAGAAAAGTCTTGCTCCCCAAGCCTCCCTAACCAGCCAGCATCCCCGACTATACCCTCCGCAAGCCACCATTGCCACCCAATCACACCCCCTCTTCCCTTCCCCTTCCCCCCAACCATTTTCCGCACGGTGCTCGCGAATCCATTAATGCGGCTAGCGACATTTCAGGCAGTGCAAACCCGGTAACACCGGAGCATGAAAGAAGTCACGCCTTGGCGAGAGATACATTTTGTCAGCTCAAAAGTTCATCTCGCAGCCAAGAGGAGAAGCTCTAGACGCGTACCTTATCCATGCATGATTTCCTTCCCGATTGCCCTCGTATGTGTGTTTGCAACTTGGATTTCCTCTTCATAATTTCAAGTAATCAGTCAGGTTTTACTTAGATCGCCCCACCCCCAATGCCGACGTCCATCGCCGTGCGACACGCCCCACACGCGTCGTCGTCGCTCACTCAATCCCGCCTCACATCGCAGCGTGCCGCATCCCGCCTGTCTCTTGTCGTCGCTTTCTCTTCCGGGCAATCGCTAGCCGTCCGATGCCGCCGCCTATCGCAGCAATCTGTTTCCTTACGACAACCAGGGCCGGCGTATAGGCGGTCCGTGCGGGCAGCGGCGGCAGCGGCGGCAGCGGCGGAGGGGAAGGATGGGGAGGCGCAGCTGTCGGCGGAGGAGGCGCAGGACCTGAGCGACATTCAGGACATCCTCGAGGTGATTTGCGCTCGCATAGGCAGTTCACGACATTCGCGACATTCGCAGCATTCGCGACACTCGCGACTCGTGCCATTTGGTGTTGCTGCGAGAGTAGATTTCGGCGAAGGTTGGGATTGCGAGTGCAGGGTCGTGCCTAAGGGATTTCAGTCGAAGCCTCCTTAGTGCCGCCCTCAGCTGAGCCACTCAGACCTCCATCCACCTCCAACCGCCTCCAACCGTTGTTATTTCGGTCCGCACCGAATGATCGTTCTTGCCACTTTAACCGTTCCGGTTTGTCGCATGCCTCGAGCCTAACTCGCATCCGTTCCTGTGCCTGTGCATGTGTGTGTGCTGCGTGCTCCGTACTGCGTGCGGCGTGCGGCGCGCGGTGTGGCAGACCATCGAGTTGCTCAAGGAGCGTCGCGACATGACCGTGCAGGAGGTGCGTTTATTAGCCTTGTGAGTTCACCCATGAAGAAACGAAAAGTTAACTTCTGAGAATTCTCAAAAGTAAATTCAACACAGGAGGTGCGTTTATTCGCCTTGTGAGTTCACCCATGAAGAAACGAAAAGCTGCAGTAGCCGTCTAGAAGAGACTTTACCTTTCGAGAATGGATATCGTACCCTCCGTCGCGAGATGTGCGAGCGTGCTCTCACTGCACGCTCCATGTCACCTTCTTTGTCTGTGTTTTGTTCGTCATTGTCCTTCAGTGTCAGCCGTTCGCACGCTTCGCCCACCTCCCTGCTGTCCTCATTTCGCTGCCTCCCCCTCTCCCTCGCCCCCCTGCCGCGCGCCAATATTCGCGCGCCTGCTGGCCGCGCTAATGTGACGTCACGCGCACCAATCTCCGCAGATCCGGCTGGTGCTGATGATCGAGGACCCACGTGAGGCGGAGCGGCGGCGGCAGATGGGCATCGAGAATGAAAGTGGGTGCTCCCGCGACGAGATCGCCGATGCCTTTCTTGAGGTGGGCGCGGCGGGGGGATTGAAATGCCGGGGAAGGGAGAGAGCAGAAAGGGAGGGGGAAAGGGGGTGAGCGGGGTGGGGGAGGGCATCGAGAATGAAAGCGGGTGCTCCCGCGACGAGATTGCTGACTCGTTCCTCGAGGTGGGGGGGAGAAGGGGGAAGGGAGGGGGGGAATGCGGGGGCGGGGAGAAGGGGGAAGGGGGGGGGAATGCGGGGGCCGGGAGAGGGGGGGAGGTCGCAACCCCCCTCCCCTTAAACCCCTCGTCCACCAGGTGGGTCATGTCTGCTTGCCAGCAGATCGCATGGTGCTGCGCAAGCTGGTTTTGAGACGCCCCCCCCCCCCCCCCCCCTTCCCCCCTTGTCCCATTGTTCCTCCATCTCCCCTCATTCCTCCCCCCCCCCCCCGTCTCCTTGCAGGTGTGTGAGGACCGTGTACCAGCAGACCGCATGGTGCTGCGCAAGCTGGCGCAGGACATGCGCGACTGGCCGCGCCTGCGGGTGAGCCATGCGAGAGTGGGGAGGAGGGGAAGAGGAGATTAGGGTTGACGGGGGGGTACGGAGAGATGGCGCAGGACATGCGTGACTGCCCGTGCCTACGGGTGAGCCATGGGGGTGCAGAGAGAAGGGGAAGGGGCGGTTAGGGGTGATGGGGGTTGTAAGATGATGGCGCAGGACTTGTGCGAGTGGCCGCGCCTACAGGTGAGTGAGCAAGGGGACAAGACAAGGGGATAACGAAGATTAGAAGGTTATGGAAGGGCCTAGAGCGGATGGGGGTTAAAATGGTGACTGGGCGGGGGCATGGGATGGGAGGGACAAGAGTCGATGAGGGGGGCAAGAGGCGAAAAGGGAAAAGGATGGCAAGGGTTGAGAAAGGTGAGGCTTTAGAAGCGAGAAGTGGGGTGTGTTTCGACTCTTGTGTGCCACGCCTCTCCCCCACCCTCTCCTCCAGGTCTTTTCCCTCACCCCTCCCCCGTACACCTCTCCCACACCGCTCTCCCCCACTCCTCTCGCCCTCACGCCTCTCCCCCCACTCCTTTCCCCCACCCTACTTCTCCACGCCTCTCCCCCGCCCTTCTTTTCCACTCCCCTCCCCCATGGCTCTTCCCTACTCTTTCCCCCACCCCATCCCCAACCCGTCTCCCCTACCCGCCTTACTCACCCACTCCCCTTCCCACTCCTCTCAACCACCCATCTTCCCCACTCCTCTCCCCCATCCCTCCCCCGACCCCTCTCCCCTCCTCTCTTCCCCCTACCCTGCCGGTGCCAGGAGGAGGCAGCCCTAAAGGAGGCAGTGCCATTCTACTTTTGAGGCGCCTCAAAAGTAGACTGCAGTGCCAGGAGGAGCCAACCCTTAAGGAGGCACTGCCATGATGCCATCCAGAAGCCAGCGCACGTCCCCTCTCCCGCACACCCCTCCCTTACGCCTCTCCCTCACCCATCTCCTACCCCCTCCCCCCCCCTCTTCCCCCGTCTCCCTCACTTCCCTCCCACCCTGCGCCTGCCAGGAGGAGCCAGGCCCCAAGGAGGCAGTGGGGCCAGGTGGCCAGCGCACGTCCCCCTACGCATTCCTCTCTCCCACCCACCTCTCCCACCCACCTCTCCCACCCCTCTCTCCCTCCTCTTTCCCACACCTCTACCGCATGCCTCCCCGCATCCCTCCCACGCCCCCCCACCCCATTGCTCTCCTCCGTGCCTCTCCCCGACCCCCCTCTCTCTTCCCCCTCTTTCCCAGGAGGAGCCAGGCCCTGAGGAGGCAGTGGGGGCAGGCAGCCAGCACACCTCCCCGTACGCACAGATCACAGATGTCGGGCTGCAGGGCGGTCCCCCCCTTCCCCCACGCCTCTCCCCCACCCCACCCCTCTTCCCCACCTCTCCCCAACCCCTCGCTACCACACACACCCCTTGCTTACGCCACTCCCTCACCCCCCTCTCCTACCCCCTGCCACTTTCCTCCCTTTCTCCACCACCTTCCCCCACGGCCCTCCCCCGGCCAGGAGGAGCCAGGCCCTGAGGATGCAGTGGGGGCAGGGGGCCAGCGCACATCCCCTTACGCGCAGATCACCGACGTGGGGCTGCAGGGCGGCGCACAGGCCAACCGCACTCCCGCCGCCTACTCCGCATCCGCCACGTCAGCACCTGCCACGTCAGCAGGCGGGTCGTCTGCGAGCCAATGGGACGCGGTGGTGGAGCGAGTGGAGAAGGCGGCGGAGAAGCAGGCAGAGGAGGAGAAGGACCTGAGCAGCAAAGTGCCTTCCTGGGTGGTGCGTGCTCTACACACACACACACACACACACACACACACACACACACACACACACACACACACACACACACACACACACACACACACACACACACACACACACACACACACACACTCGCTGCCTCTCACCCCTTCTCTCCTCGTCCCCCCACCTTGAGTCCAATGCAGCGACTGCTAGCATCCACACAGTCATGCTCCTCCCTGTGCTGCTTGCTCATGTGGGTCTCCGCTTCACACTTGTCTCTCTGCCCCCCGTCCCTCCCTGTTCAAGCCCTGGCTCCTATGCTTCCCTCCTCTGTATCACTCTCACCGTGCCCTGCTTCCCTACCTGTGTGTGTCCTGACTCACCTCAACAGCAGCACGTCTTGCTATTTTAGCGCCTTATAGAACTCATCTTTGATTTCAACAGCTGACTTCTGAGTCGACTCAAAAGCATGTCTTGCTGTGTTAGCGCCTTATAAATCACATATTTGATTCCAACAGCCCACACAATGAACTTGTTGCCAGCACCCCCACCCTTTCCCGATTCTAATATGCACGTCTTCTGTGCATTGCCATTCGTCATGTTCCAACCACCACACGGCATGGGGCATGTGCAGGGCTACAGTGTGCTGTACGGCATCAGCACCATTCCCATCATCACCCCACACTCTTTTTCTATTCTAAAATACACGCCCTTTCTGCACTGCCATCCACCATGTACCATCCGCCATGCGGCATGAGGCATGTGCAGGGATACAGTATGTTGTACGGCATCAGCATCATTCCCATCATCATCCCACACTCTTTTTCAATTCTAATATACACTCCTTCTCTGCACTGCCATGTGCTATGTTCCATCCACCACATGGCATGGGGCATGTGCAGGGCTACAGTGTGCTGTACGGCATCAGCATCATCCCCATCATCATCGGTGTCATTGTCGTTACCATCCTCTTCCTCAACTCGCTGCAATAGGCCCACCTTCCCGCCTCGTCCATAGTCAACATCAGCACTAGTAATGAACTGGCTGCAAAAAGCAGAAAGGGGGAAACAACTATACTAACTCTGTAGGATGCGGAAAGCAGGATGAATATGAAATATTCTTACGGTATGTACAACTGTGCTCATGTTCATCGGAATTTCAGCACACTTACCATACCACATTTTGGCTTGGAATATACTTTCGACGTTATTTCTACCATATTATTGTCAGATAGACAGGGCACTAGTTCCGTTTTAACAGCTAAAAGTATACACCCGTTTAATCCATTTGTTACGAGGTAGCAAGGATTGCACTAAGTTGTCAGACCAGTACAAAATACCATGAGCGAAGGCATGAGCAAATACTTAAAGGCGAAACATGCAAAAGGTAACACGGTGCGTGCGAGCTAGCTAGTGCGATGCTGGCAACAAGGTTCGGGCTAGTCCCGAAGCGTAGGCCAACTTGGACAGGCCAGCATTGCATGGTTTGGCAAATGCAGCGCGCGAAGGTTGGCGAAGCCCCTTTAGCCGTAACGGGTGAACAACGGTTGGTCCTGTACGCGGTGTTGAAACACCCGGTAAGGAATGCCTAATACCGTATTACCCCGGATATAGGCGCATATGCGCCTATAATAAAATCATTTTTTTTAGGGGTGGCGCTTGTAATTGAATAACGGCCATAAGCGCCGGCGCTTATATCATGGCAAAAATGAATTTGTTATTTTTATGTACCAAATCGAAGCCCGCAATAAGGCGAACACAATTGAGTAACGTGCGCGTGGGATAATGCATGTAATCCCGCCGAAAACTGCTGCGGTTCGATTCCCGACCGCACAAATCCCGTCCACGAGCAGCGCACCTGCCAGCGCTGACGTGAAAGTTGCCTTGCGGCCCAATCAGGCTTTCATGCGCTGGCAGGCAGCTGCATTTCACCCGAACCATCGAGAAGGGGCTGGAATGCCCTGCCAGCGCAGCATCTTCGTGCCGCGATAACCTCCTCTCCGGGTTCAGACAGGGGGTACCCGTCTCTCCCCGACGAGGACCCCGAGGCGCTAACCAGAAGGGGTCCCTTTGAATCTCTCATTTGTTCTCCATCTCTCTCAGTTTCTCGTTCGGTTTCTTGGTAGTTCTCGCCTGGCTGCCGCCGCCATGGCGGAATTCAGCGGCACCCACTTCTTGTTCAAGAAAAAGCCTACGCGAAGGCCCGCGTTTAGAGTAGACGCTGACGGGTGGTACTCCCGTATCCCACCAGAACCACCAGAGCCACCACGGCCTCCTGCGCCTCCTGCGCCTCCTGCGCCTCCTGCTCCTCCTTCGCCTCCTGCACCTCCTGCACCTCCGGGATGAAGCTTCTGTAAGTCTCTTAAAAAACAGGACCGGTGAAAAGCATACAAACAAGAATCATGACTTGCCCAGCGGGAACACCCCTTTCGGCACGGTCTTCCGCTTGAAAAAAACCCACGGCTTCAGCTTCATCCCGTTCGCCGTGCACGCCAACATCACGGTCACGCGCTCCTTCTCGTACCCCGCGCTCCTGATGGGCACCGACCGAACACCGGTTTGATCGACGGTAGTGGTGGCGGGCATCTCCAGCCACAGCGGCGTCTGGTCGGCGTTGATAATCCACGTCGTCTCGATGCTGCGCTCCCGACGCTTATCACGGACGAATTGCCAGAACTTCTTGCATTGCTCCGCGACATCTGCGGTTGAACACAGTTACGGTTAGTGAGTAACAAGTGCATACACATGGCATAGAGAATAAAAATGATTCTTACGGGTGGCGGTTTTCTGGGCGACCTTCGTCTTCATTCGCACGCTGAGATTCCACTGCCTACTTAACCGGTCCGACCACCGTTGGCTCCCTTTCCACTTCACGAGGGGGTAGAGTAACTTCATGAACTCCCGGGACCACTCCTGCAGGCGGCCGACGGACACCGCGGTTCCCTTGCGTCGCCAGTCGAGCAGTCGCTCATACACCTTGATCTCCATCGGGCGGTACCACGACGCCCTGCCGCGACCGTGCATGCACTTCCTGGCAGAGTGGACTTCCTTGAGGAAATCAGCGGCACGCTTCTAGTTGGCGAGGTACTTGCGGTGGATGCCACTCTCGCGAGCCAGAGCGCGCATCGACACCGCCACATCCAGCTGCGCGACCCACTTCAACTTCTCGGCAGCAGTATAGGCCTGACGCTTGTGGTCGTTGGGCTTGTGCCTGGGAGAGGGGGGGCGAGAATCATGTGTCAGAATCCCAACCACTAGACCATTGGGATAAAAGGGCTTTTTAAGTAGCGGGTCAGTGCGCCCATAACCCCCCAGGACAACGAGCCTGTAACCCTTCCCTAGGATCAATCGGGGATCACCAGTGGACCTCTGACACCCCCCCGCACTGGGATGCCCGAAGTGCACACACTGGGATTCGAACCCGAGACCTTCACTCTGATAACATGTCAGAATCCCAACCACTAGACCATTGGGATAAAAGGGCTTGTTAAGTAGCGGGTCAGTGCGCCCATAACCCCCCAGGACAACGAGCCTGTAACCCTTCCCTAGGATCAATCGGGGATCACCAGTGGACCTCTGACATCATGGTTCTGTGAAGAAGGGTGAGGTCGCTTTCGATTACATGGAGGATAAGTTGGTATCAAGAGTTTCTCGGGGAGGCCATCGCGTGACCAGTATTCGACGCCGTCGTCGTCGTCACCGCCCGGCGCACCCTCGGGAAACACATCCTCAGCAGTGCCGGCCTCAGTAGCGGCCTCGGTGTCGGTCTCAGTGCCACCCTCGGCGCCGGTGTCGCCCTCAGCGCGCCAATCTTCCTCGGCGTCTTGCACGTCGTCGTCAGCGCCGACTGCAGATTCGTCCCACGTGCAGTTTTCTGGCTGGCCCCAACGTGGTGCTGGCGCTAGAGCATCTACGTAAACATCGGGGCCCTTGTTAGAATCCGGTTCCAACAGATACTCGTCGAACGCCGATGGGAGCAGGAGCGTGAGCACGGGGTGGTTGTCGGTGACGTGAGGGGCCACCGGACACGGAGGAACAGGAGGAGCAGGGGGAGCCGGAGGAGCAGGCGGCGCAGGAGGCGCAGGAGGCTGTGGTGGCTATGGAGGGTCTGGTGGTATGCGGCTATACCACCCGTCAGCTATAACACAGTACGCGGGCCTACTGGAAGGTTTTTTCTTGAAGAGAAAATGAGTGCCTGTGAATTCTGCCATGGCTTCCGCAGCCAGGCGGGCGAGGAAAAGAAGAATGAATAAAAAACTGCAAGAATGGGTGTTGAAATGAGAGATTGAAGGGGACCCCTTCTGGTTTGTGGCTCGGGGTCCTCGTCGATGAAAGACGAGTACACCCCTGCCTCAACCCGGAGAGGAGGGTTGGGGGCACCTTCCATGCTGCGCTGGCACGGCAGATTCCATCACGTTCTGGATGGTTCTGCCGAGATGCTCCTGTCTGGCAGCGCATGCCAACCTGATTGGGCCGCACGGCAGGTTTTGCATCAGCGCTGGCACGTGCGTTGCACCGGGACGGGTTTTGTGTGTCAAGTTTCGCCGTCATTCCATGCACGACCCCGCGCGCATGGTACAGTGTTGTATTCGCCTTATTGAGGGCTTCAGAATGATATCCTTTACAGTGAAATTCAGTTTTGCCTTTATAAAAGCGCTGGCGCTTATGGCCGTTACAAGCGCCCCCCCTCAAAAAATAAATTCATTATAAGCGCATATGTGCTACTATCCGAGGTATGACGGTAATGCTTATATTGTGTAGGCTGTAGTGGGGTAGCCCATAAGGGGTACAACCCAATTAGGGTTAGTACTTGTACCAACTTTCTGCTCAATGCATTCATTCTCGTTCAGTATTTTGACATGATTTCATAGCTGGTCCTGTTCCAGGACCGTTTTTTTTTAGGGCCCACCACATAGCGCTGCCCCACTAGTTGCGTCGCCCCGCCCTGCCTGTCGCGTCGCCCTACTGGCTGTCGCGTCGCCCTGCCCTGCCAGTCGCGTCGCCCTGCTGGCCGTCGCGTCGCCCTACTGCCCGCGCACCGCATTGCTGGCAGCCGCGCCGCCATGCCCTGCTTGCACGTCGCCTTGCCCTGCCCGCGCTGAGCCGCCCTGCTGCCCGCACCACCCTGCTGCAAGCAGCCCTGCAGGCCGGGGACCTGCTGCCCGCGCGCCGCCCTGCTAGCAGCCGCGCCGCTGCCCGCACTGCCCTGCCCGCGCCGTCCTGCAGCTGCCCGCCCTTCTGTGCGCCGCCCTGCTGGCAGACGCCCTGCTGCCCGCGCGCCGCCCTGCTGGCCGCCGCCCTGCCCTGCCCTGGCCGCACGCCGCTCTTCCCTAGCTGTGCGCTGCCTCTCCCTGCCCTGCGCGCTTCCTTAGTGCTCGC